ATGCAAGTCTGCATTGAAATCAATCAGCTGCCAGATTTTATTGCCAAAGCTTAACTAAACAAGATGAAGTTATAACCTAATTGGCTACCATGCTCAGCTGAACTGAATTCAGAGTGCTCCAGTTTTAGTAAATCTGCCCCATTGCATGTGCATTAGGAAAAAAATGTGCATGTCCCGTTTAGATTCCATTGCCTTGTGTTGAAACCCTATTCTAAAAGAAAAGCTTGGCTTAGCACAAGACATGTTAACCATACTGTAACATGTTTCATAAAACACACCACAGCAAAATGGCAAACATGTGGAAAGAGGTCACAGTCACTTCTTTTGTATTGTATTGTATTTAATATAATTTATATTCACTGTCATTAAAACTCTGTGTCAGACAAACAACATAGATGGAAACTGCTCTTTGCTTTTATTTATTTATTTTGACTTATTTACAAAGTGTGATAAAAGTGATGTGACCCCTGCCAGCCATGCAACTCATTACAGTACAGATTGACAACTGATAAAAATAGCACCTTACCTTTATTAATTACATCAGTAGCACCTGTGATATGGGACTTGCTTAGTTCAGGGGTATTGCATTTTTAATTTTTTAAGTTCACATCGGTCCAACTGTGGTTAAAAGCTTGGTGGCCCATTTTTAGTTAAAACGGAGACTAAAAGTTCACAAGACTCTTGTTGTCCACACAGCAAATTTTCAACAATAAAACAGTCAACAGAAAATGCTGCACCACCTAGCTCTCTCCTCAGCAGCACCACTGCTGTTGGCACTGGCCCCTCAGACCAAGATTTCTGAGCTCTCCAAGCCCATTCCTGACCTCTCAATAGGGGTTCTCTCTCATTCCCCTGATATTTACGAATTCCCATAGTCCCATGGACTCGTCTAGTTGTCCTGGCTTTCCCAGTCCCTTATGCATTTTTTCAGACTCCCAGATTCATGTAGCTGCCTCAATTTTCTCAGCCCAATGGACAACGAATCCTTCCAACATGGAATGCCATCTCGCAGGAAAGTCACCTCCCTCGGGAACAGCTCTTTCCTGATGGGGCACACAGCTATCTCCATACAAGGGCCCTGAGTTACAGCCAGATCCTGGCTTATAACAAGCATGCACATCTGGACACACACAGTCTACAGGTCTCCAGTAAGACTCGGGTACAGGATTGAAAGCTTTGTCCCACCTAAGACACTTTAAAGACTTCAAGTTCCAAACCCTGATCTGGGATAACAAAACCCGTAGAACACAGAAAAGCCAGTCTTCTCTACTCACAAAATATTCTGGATCTTTGTCCTTTGCCTTAATGTGAATCCTGTGTGTTTTCTCCCTATCCTCACACGGTGGTAGGGCCTAGCATAGTAGCATACCTAAATCATTATTTGGTAGATATTATGACACAGTTGTCTTCAGTTCCCACAGTTAGGGTAGTTTTATCAGTTGTAGTACTGTTTTCATATACTAGTAGTTGCAATGATATAATTTTTGGAATCTAGAGCAGGGGTTTCTAAACTATGGCCCTCTAACTGTTGAAGTACTACAAGTTCCATTTTGTTTATGGGAGTCTTGCCTGTGGCTGTCAGAGTCTTTTAAGGCCTCACGGGACTTGCAGTTCCTCAACACCTGGAGGGCCATAGTTTGGAGATTCCTATTCTACAGGATACAGCACTGTTCTTGGTTGTTAGGCATTACAAAGATGTAATTGCTGGTTGCTGTGGGTTATGGTGCTCTTGACAGGTGTTATAGTGCTGTAGTAATTGGTTGTTAGAGCTTATAGAACTGTTATGTTCCTGGCACATACACACTTTTAGTATTGACTGCTATGAATTATGGAACTGTTGTCATTACCTCTTAGGAGTTATGATGCTATTATCAGTGCTTGCTATAAATTATAGCACTCTCACTGGGTGAAAGCTGATCATTCTAGCATGCAGTTTTCACTGAAACTTTTGCCTTTACATTAGTATGAAATGATGGATTTTTAGATACTGTATACATATGAAAGTGATTGCCTTGCTTAATGTATCTGCTCAATATATGTTAACTAGAGGTTAATCAATTTTCCTGCAAGCACATTTAAAGTAAACCACATCAATCTGCAGCATCTGGATGTTTACCATGGATCATTAAGCTGGTGCTCCAAGAAAATCAATCTATAGACTAGTAAGGAGTCCAGGGGACCCCTTACTAGTTCACTTCTTCTTGATTGCCTTTACTTGGTTATGCTCCCTTCCAAATAAAAGCATTTATGTTATGATGCACAAGTGCATGGCCTTACATTCTATCATAACACAAGATCACCAAATGATCATGCAAGAGAACTGGCAAAATGTTTAGCTGACCCCCATAAATGTTTAAAAATGGAAAAATAATGAAAAATCTGCTCCACTGGTAATTCAACAGAGTGGAGTCCAATATTTGCTCTGCTGACCAAATATCTAAGTGCCTATAATATAAATTACCTTGTTTCCAAAGTAAAGTATGTTGCAGGACCTCTCAAAGTAGTAAGCCTGTGCTACAGGGAAGCAATTTCCATGCTCCCTGGGTGACACAGTGAAAGTCTATGAAGGTCCTGCTTTTAACACCACAGTGGGTTATGGAGCAATAGCATTACTGCTGGGAAGCTTTGATATGAAATAACCACATAATGGAACAAGAGACTGCAGAAAATTGAAAGGACAATAATGCCCACTTCCCATGCTTAAGTAGAAATCTAATCCCCACTCCTTTTAAACAGAGATTGCCAATATCATCCCTCCCATATAGGCTTCTCAGTCCTGGGTGAAAATATTCCTATCAGAGTAAAGACTAATGAGTGACTTGAACTTTAGTTGCCACCTTTTCAGTGTGCTTACTGTTACTCAGTTGCCCCCAGGTCTTTACTATGACTGCAGAATTTCACAAGTCAGCCCTTAAGTAGGAATAAATATACCACATTTTGATCCAGGAAAGGGAACAAGATCTCCAGCAGGAAGTGGACGAGAGGCAAACAGAGTGTAATTAATGCACATAACAAGAGATCAGGACCTGCATCAGACAAGAGAATCCATTAAATGTAGCTAGAGGTTGGAAACAGACACAGCAGTAATATGGTGCAGAATTAGGGATTAAGATGAATCCTATAGACAGAAAACGGCAGTCTACCCAAACTGCACCTCTTCAACAAGAGTCCTGCTACTTTTAACCAGTGATCCTGTGACCTGGCAGTCACCCAACCCCAGAGGCATTGGGATGTGCATCTGATTTCTGGATCAGTGACCTGCTGAGCTTCATCCTGGGATTCTTCCTCAGCCCCGTGTTGGAAATCCTCACAAGTGGGAAATTATACATTTTGACCACTCTGCTTCTAGCTCTGATAACCTTTTCCCAGAATACCAGTAGCAGTTCTGTGTCTGTCCAATATTTGTGCCTGCCTAATATTTATCCAATAGTTGACAAGCTGAATCGCTGGAAGGCTTTAAAGAATCAGCAGTTCCTTTTTCTGTGCTGAGGTTAGAGCTGGAAAACCCACCAGCATCAGCCTGTGGAATTTATTGTGGGCCTGAAGTTGAAGGCAGATTGCAGGCATCTTCTAAGCCTGGCTTGTCCACCTAAACAATTTGCTCTGCATAGAAGTTCCTGCAGAAGGCCCTCTATTCTATCCTGTAGGCTTGTAAGAGATGAGCGGAGATGAGATGAAAGCTTGATTGAAGATTCAGATTGTTGTACCATATTGCAGATGTTGTCACCTTTAAAGAAAACACTTTATCCCCATTGGTTGCTTGATTTACTTTCAAATGCTTCTACTAAGCATTTTTTACTGCCCAGGATCAAAGCAGTGATGATCTTTTGGCAATAGCTGTTTTCTTTGCCTTTTTATCAGTGACAAGAATGTGAGGTGGAGAGGGGGGATGACTGCTTTTGTTAAAAAATACTCATTGTATATGCCATTGAAAAGTGGTATAGATTCTTTTTAAAGAAGTTGTTTACATTACTTTAAACAAAGAACACCACTCACTACTGTAGTTCCATTGTTGTGCACAGCCACAGAATGTTCTGGCTGGTATAACATTTTCTATTGCTTAGGTATAAGTTGAAAGTGTTAAAGCAGCTTAAGGAGACTTACTCTAGTCACCATTATTCTTAGACTCTTCAGGCTTTCTAGCTAAGGTCAGATCATCAGTCCTGGTCTAATGAGCCTCTTGATTGGTACAATCATTCAAAAGGTACAACAATATGTTTGTGTTTCTGTAATGACATCATTACTCAGCAGTTGGTGGATCTTCCCCCTCTCCTGTAGCAAGGCACATTGATGTTCATCTACTTTTCTGCTTTTAACAGACACTTCAAATGTTAGGGCCAGCTGCTTTTGCTTTTATTATCCTATTCATTTCAAGGAACTTACAATGTAAGGACTATGGAGACCTCTTAATAAATTGATCTTTTGCCAACAATCCACAGGCACTAATATTCTCTTACTAAATGCTAAGAATATTTTGTGCTAACACACATATTTACTGCATGCCATTTGACTAAAAAAGTGGGCAGCATTAAAATATTCATTGCTCTAATTAAAATGCACTAAGCCTCATGTGTGCTAAAAAATGTCATTGTGTGCCTCTTTGGAATATGACAGTTATTTAATTTCCACAACACCAGCACTCATTGAAGTGTTGATTATATCATCAGCTACCTCTAGGATACATCTCTAGAAGCTTTACCTTGTTTCTATAACCAAGATCAAGCAGCCAGAGAAATGATTGTATCCATTATGTATCTCACCGTTTAAAAATGTGACTCAAGGTCTAATTTCTGTAAGGTGGCATGCTGTGACATTCAGCTAATGTGAGACACTGAAAGGATGTTAATTTATTGAGTAGGGTTTTATATGATGTACTTTTAAATTACAGAGTGTTTTGCCTTTTTTAATTCTCCTATTTGGTTGAAAGTTTCACTAAAGGTAATTGTTGAATGTGGAGCAAAGTGGAAATGTTATATATCCTTTATTTTAATACTGTTTCTAAATAAATAAATATATATATACATACACACACACACTGTATCTTTCGCTCCATAAGACGCACCTGACCATAAAATGCACCTAGATTTTAGAGGCGGAAAACAAGAAAAAAAAATTCTGAACCAATGGACTGCAGACATAGTACATGACATGACCAGAGACAGCGGACAAAGTACAGGAGATGACCAGAGACTGCGGACATAGTACAGGAGATGACCAGAGACTGCGGACACAGTACAGGAGATGACCAGAGACTGCAGACATAGTACAGGAGATGACCAGAGACTGCGGACATAGTACAGGAGATGACCAGAGACTGCGGACATAGTACAGGAGATGACCAGAGACTGCAGACACAGTACAGGAGATGACCAGAGAGTTCAGACCTTTGGGGAGGGGGGTCAGGTACCCGAATTTGACAGGTACGCGCTCCTACTTCCACGTAGTTGTCCTCCCCCCTCCCTCCCCGTAGTCTTGTGAGACACATGACAGGTCCCACAAGACTACGGGGCCATTCACAAAGTGCAGCGCTTCTCGCACATGTGCAGTGGGCACACGGCTGTGAAGCTGCAAGCTGTCCCACACTGAAGATGCCGGCGCTAGGGGGAGGATGGCCAATGAAAGCAGGACAATGCTGGACCGAGGAACAGGTATGACGGAGAAGTGGGTTATTCTACACAGTAGAGCCGAGCGGCCGACCCGGTATGCTAACACGGCAGTGGCGGCGGCAGGAATACTGGGCCAGCCACCCCATATTCGCTCCATAAGATGCACAGACATTTTCCCCCATTTTTGGGGTGCTAAAAACTGTGTCTTATGGAGCAAAAAAATATGATATATATATATATATATATATATATATATTGATATTTATATATATATATATATATATATAGTATATTTACAGTGTTTATGTGATACACCTAATTGTTGCCAGCTAAAGGTACATGTTATCAATAAAGACATTAATGAGGAATCTGATGGATCACTTCTATCCACATTCTGAGGTCATGAATTTCCATCACATGTTTAAAATGTATTTTACATTACAGTAAACCAAACAAATGAAAGGATATATTTAATAGAAGCAACACAGGAACCAAGCAGATGAAACTCAGCAAAGCGCTAACATGTTTCATGCTTTACCAGAGCTTAGTCATAGCCTGGAACGCTATGGCCATACACTGTTAAAGTGTGAAACATGTGAGCCTACTGCCAAGCTCCCTCTACTTGGTTCCTGTGTTGTTGTTTTATCATATTTAATCTCTTCCTACTGCCACCTCCCAGCCCTTTAAGAGCTTCTAAATTCTGGGAGGTGGAGGCAGGCATTCAGGTCATGTGATCGCTTTGATTGGCTGTCACAGTGGTCACATGATTGGAAAGCTCCAGATCCATCCAGAGCTTTCTGGTACCCACCGGTAACTGCTGGGAGCGTACAGAAAAATGTTGCATATATGCGACCTCTCTGCATTAAAGCCCACCTGCCGAGAGGCCGCATATATGCATACCTTTGGTAGGAAGAGGTTAAGAATAAGGCTTTATTCACACAGTGAAAAAAAATTTCTGATATTACACGTGTTTAAATGCGTGAAGCAGAATAAAGATGTGTATGCTTATATAACTTGTTTTTATGATAATTAATTTTTTCTCTTTGTTTAGACTTAATTTACACATGTACAAATGTGTATACATGCATTTATATGTGTAAGCATGTAAGTCACAGTTTCTTAGATGCATATTTTTGGATTCTTATGTTTACTTTTAGAGTAGGTGAGGTTGTTTTAACTCTCTGACCCCTCTATTTTAAATATTTCTTTTAGGTCCATTCAACATCTCTAAAATCAGTATTGTCTCCAAATGTATCTATCTCTGTTCAGACATAGGCATGAAAACTGCAATAGACTGAAGGCTGAGTTACCGTTATTGTATTATAGAATAATGTATGACCAGTGTAAAGTTACAGGCAAGTTAATGCCCTCTGCTTGCTATAAGACAAGGAGGGACAGCAGCTGTGGTATAGGAAAATGAGTGACCACTGCTGTTACAGGAAAATGAATGGCAACTGCTGCATTACCAGAGAATTAATGAACAATGATACATTACAGGAGAATGAATGCAACAGAAAAAAACCTGATCTTGGTGTCACCCCCATAGCCTCCCTAGCGGTCTTATTATGTCCATATTTCTGTGCTCAAAGCGGTACTTTTTTTGCATGGAAATTTGTATTTTTTTTATTGTAGGCCTGTAATTTTTAGGAATAACTCACTGAAATCTGTCCAAACAAGGGTCTAGTAAACATCCCGGGTATGTTAAAATTTGAAACACGAAATCATAAATTATAATTTAATAAATAATCATAAAAAATAATATAATAATAATACATTTAATTAAATAATATAATCAAACCAAAAACACTGAAATTTGAAATATAGCGCCAAGTTCGCACATCATTGAGCAAAGTTGCAAAATCATTTTCAGTGTCTAATGAAGAATTTCCCCACGAATCATTATCACTCAATTCTGCAAATGATTCTAATTTACTATCGCTGTTCTCTAGCTGGCCTAAAACCGCTTTTGACCTAAAGGGACAGTTTTTGGACGCCATGGACATTTCTCAGTTTCCAGGCAGAAAGAACAGTAAAAATGTAGGCAGGGCACAGGACAAAGCACTCGGGACAAAATGTATGTGAAATACTTTGATACAGTAATGTTTTACTATGTGATTTTAGTGAATTTAGTGAATGTAACTTTTACAACTTTCAAATTTCCCGCCAGTTCCGTCCCTTTTACGTCCTAACGTCGCAGGGAACAGAACCCAAAAGACAGATGCCGGCATCGGCCGGAGGACATTGCAGGGGACACTGCAAGAGGGACATCGCAGGAGCGCAGGATAAGGTAAGTGAAGAAGAGATCCCGAAGCAGCGCTGCAGTGTATTCCCGAGTGTAGCTTGGGGTTACCGTTTGTGGTGCTGAAACTTTACCCTGAGCTACATTCGGGAATACTGCCAGGGAGGTTAAAGTGATACTCTTAAAGTGATATTAAAGGCTTGGGTGTAAAAAAAATAACAAATGAGCATTACTTGCCTGCTCTGTGCAATGGTTTTGGGCTGGAAAATGTTAGGACTGCTTCAGGAGGCCATGTTCTGGCATCAGCACCCTTCCAGGTCAGAGAAGTGATTGGGGCCACCAGAGTGGAATAACCAGGAATGAACTGGTGATAGAAATTGGTGAACTCCAAAAAGCTTTGTTTTGATTTCAGACCAGAGTGCTGGGGCCAGTTGGCAATGGCCTAAAGTTTGACCGGGTCCATAAGCAGCATTCAGGCAGTGGTCCCAAGGATGCTGATGGACCATACATACATGCTGATGATGAGTGTTCAAATCTGGTGAGAAAATAAGTAAGTTGTCCAGGTTCACAATAACACAAACATAAATGATCAGAGAAAATCTCATTAACAAAGTTCTGAAAAATGGCTGGGGCATTACACAATCCAAAAGGCATCACAGGATACTCATAATGATCATCTCTTGTGTTGAAAGCTGTCTGCCACGCATCACCCTCTCGTATCCTAATCAAATTGTATGCTACAATTGTATGCTTAACTATGTTAAGATTTGAGCATCGGAATGCCTATCAAAAAGTTCCCAAATCAAGGGATATTAATTCTTAATAGTAATGGCATGGAGACCTCTATAGTCTGTGCAGAAAAGGAATGGTACACTTCTTGCACTAAGAAGCTGGCCCCAGCTGGAGAACAGATGAATCCTTTTTGTAGTTTTTCCTGAGCATACTCAGACATGACTAGAGTCTCAGGAATGGAGAGAGGGTAAATTCGACCCCGAGTCAGAGTAGTCTCAGGCTGAAGATCATTGGGACAATCATAGGGATGATGAGGAGGCCGACGGTCATCAGCCTTTTTAAAAAACATCATGGAAGGCCTGATAATGTCACTGGAGTATCGATGGGGTGGTGACCTCAGCCACGGGTACAGAAAGAGGCTGAAGCACCTTGTGATAAATGACCTACAGGGGGGTGACATGGACCAGTCCTCTCTAGATCTTTCTCCTGGAAGCGGACATCGATTTGGATGCTAAGGGCAATCAAATCATCCAGGATGAAGGGTATGGTTCTGCAAGCTAGTTCATCCTTAATATGATCCACTAAGCCCTGCCAAAAAGTAGCAATAATGGCCTTATTATTCCATGGCCATGGTGCAAAACTGAACCACGTATTGAACAACAGTGCTTATTTGTCAGAGAAGAAGAATTGCTTCAGCAGCAAATGAGGCCCTATCAGGCACATTAAAAATCTTATGGAAAGCTTTGATCTTGATGATTCCACAGTGGCGAGGCCCAGGCCAGAACATCACTGGCAAGGAGTGAGATGATATATGCCACCTTGGTGCTGTTTGTGTGGAAATGGCAGGCTGGCAGTTCAAAATGAATTGAACACTGATTTATGAAGCCCCAGCAAGCTTTTAAATCACCAGAAAATCAAGGTGGTGGAAGCAACTGGAGTTCTGAGGGACTGTCTGACACAGGAAGAACAATAATATCCAGAATAGAAGGAAGTGGGAACAGAGGGAATAGGAGTGGTTGCAACTTTCAGCTGGTCCAAATGGGAGGAAATTCCTGTAAACATTGCATGATCCTTTCTTCATAGGCCTGATGGATGTCAATTCTCTGTGCCAAACCCTGAAGTTGTTCATATAGAGGCTGCGGGGTCTCCAATGAGAGACTGTTAGGTTTATGTGGTAGTGGGCCCCTGTAGAGCACCAAACTGAGCTTCCCCAGGGCATGGTCTAAGCCCCACCCTGATTTTTTCACCAGGGCCCCTGATAGTGGGGATGGACTTGCAGCAAGCTGGAACCAGGCTGCAGCCCCCAGAGATGCCTAGCTGTCGATACGGAGACCACTCGGCTATGCAGAGAACAGATGGCAGGATACAGAAAAGGGTCTGGCAAATGAGCTGAGTTCAGGGAAAGTGGCAGGCAAGCACAAATCTGGAGTAGGTTTATGGAAAGTCAGACACAGTACTGCAAGGAGAACCAGGAAGTCAGAGAAACTGGGAAGTTGCTCATGCAACATGGGTTGCACTGAACATATCTTCAATAGGGAAACACACTTGGAGGTGGGCCAGGAAGTAATAGAAGGGAAAGGAATATAAATCCACAGTATAGAAGACAACAACATAGCTGAACAGAGAAGCCAAAGAACACATGTGAATAGAATCACAGACCCAGCACAAACACTGCAGCAAGGAGGTAAGAATTTCACAGGCAGGAAACTGCAGGCTAAACCATGAAAGTATCCCCTGGCTTAAAATCCTTTTTTTCAAAATATCAACTTGTATATCTAAATTCTC